TATTGGGCTAGAGGAACCAGTGAGCTAGACAGAATTCAATTCATCTGGGATGTTTTCCCGCACAAATTCCACTGAAACAAATGGAGGATGCAGAAGGCCACAGTAATGTTATTGTACGACACCCAACTATTTCAGTGAGGTTTGTGCTGTGGAACTTCTTCGTGGATTGCGCCTCACATTCATCAGCGTCTGCAAGTAGGTGGCCTGTGAACTTTCTGACTCCAAGCATCAAAATATTTCAAGTTGGACCAGCAGTAACAAGCTATTTCCCCTCTTCCTTGCTCCTTAGTGCTGTTTAGCATCCAAAATTACGTTTGTGACCAGAAAGGAGGAGAAATTTATTTATTTATACCCTGCCCTTCCTCGGAAAGAGCCTAGGGCAGCTAACAACCTTTATCAATACATCTGGGGTTCCCAAAATGGTGCCTTTACCATCTGCCAAGACTGCATTTCTCTTTAAAAAGAAAAAGAAAAAGCTTTCATTGGTAGGGGTTGTTTGGTTGGGTGCCTGTTGTTGTTTTTTGTCTGTGCATTATTTGTTCAGGGATCCACATTTTGTCTCTTCTTTGGGGTGGGTGTCTGAACATCACTGTTTATTCTTCTTCTGTGGAATGAGTATATTGATGTGCCTATGACAGAGCCTTAGCTTTCCAAATGTGCCCTCAGGACCCAGAAAGATTGAGGACTCCTCCAATAAATCAACATCACCAAAATCATCATGCCAAAATCACAAGGATGCCACACAAGTTGCTACAATGTGGAATAAAATGCCAGGAATTTGTTGACTCCCAGTTAGCTCCAACCAGCTAAAAGTGCAGCACAAAACCTTTCCCACACAAAAGCAGTCCAATTCCACCCAGGCACAGCTGGTAACTTGGCAGGCCAGTGAGAAATGTCATCTCTAGAGATCTAGAGAGTTTGCTCATATTTAATCTTTATTTTTTTCCCTCCCCTTCCTCCCCACTTTTTTCTTTCTTACCGCTTTCCTGGAAGTGTTTTCCAAGGCGCAGCCGCCTTCCCCTCTTATTACAAAGTGGCAGGGAATGAATAATTTAGCTTCCTCTAGATGATGGATGCATCCCATCACATGGGAAGGCTGAATTATTCATGGCAGGGAAAAGCAAGAGTGAGCAAGTTAGGCATCTGGGCATTTTAGAGGAGCGTTGGGAGCTGCTTTATAGCGAATCAGGCCGTCGGTTCATCTAGTTCAGTACTGACTACACTGACTGGCAGGGGCTCTCCAGGATTCCAGGCAGGGAATTTTTTTCCATTCCCTACTTTGAGACTCTGCTGGGGATTGAACCAAAGAGTATCTGCGCACAAAGTGGATGCTCCGCCATCGGGTTGCAGCCTGTCCCACTACGGTCCCTATGGCAAGGCTGAGCCACTTTGGCACAGAATGGGCAAAAGGAGACATTTGCTGGGAATGTGACTAAAACCTAGGCTATCCCAACAGCAGAAGCTGCCAAAGAAATTAAGTGGGGCTGCAGGTGGGGAACCTCTTATCTAGGAGCTGAGAGTGGTGGCCATACCTCATACTGGCCTTGCCGCACACCCTCCTTGAAGCGTGATAATGCTTTTTTACTTGCCTGGAAAGAGTGTGTGTTTGTGTGCGTAGACCTCTGCCTTGTGACATCAGCAAGCTCTAGTTTCTGAGTCTCGAAGGACACATATCAGAAAATGTCTGGGAAATAACTGGAATTGAGTGTTTTGACCATATTATGCCTGTGAAATGTCAGTTCATTTCTGGGCATGGTTTAAAGTGTTGGTTTTGGCTTTTAAAGCTGTTAATGACTTGGGAACAGATTAACTGAAAGAGCCTCCTTTTCTTGTAAGTACTTAGCCAGCTCTTCAGAAACCCTAGTCTGAGGGCCCTCACCAAACAAAATGAGGTAGGCCACCACTAAGGAAAGGGACTTTTCATTCAGTAGAGGCAGCCCAGTTCTAGAATAGCCTTCCCATAGCTGTTTGCGCCTTTATGATCAGGAGAGAACCTTCCTATTTTCTCAGTTCTTTAACTTCTGTTTCACAGCCTGGGCCTCTCAGTTTTAAACTGTTTTAATTTTTCAGATCAAGACATTCTAGTTTTTATTGTTCTGTGCTGCATGCTAATACTGTATTATTTAAAAATGTGTTATTACAACATTATTAATATTGTATTAAAAGCTATAGTTCAGTGACAGGGCATAGTTCAGTCCTAGCTGCAATCTCTGGCCTCTCCAGATATGGTTGGGAGAGACTCCTTTCTGAAATCCTGATTTGCTGCCAGTCAATGTAGATAATACTGAGGTAGATGGGCCCAATGGTCTGGCTTGGTATAAGGCAGCTTATATTCCTATTTTAAGGGTGCAATCCTATAGCTTGTGAAAGGGGAGAGGGATACAACAGCACTTTATTTGACACCCTCTTAGACAAGCACCCCCAAACTTGGCCCTCCAGATGTTTTGGGACTACAATTCCCATTATCCCTGACCACTGGTCCTGTTAGCTAGGGATGATGGGAGTTGTAGTCCCAAAACATCTGGAGGGCCGAGTTTGGGGATGCCTGCTCTTAGAGATGCAGAAGGGGTGGATAGAGTAGCATTCTGTGTTCTTCCAGATATTTCTAGGCTTAGATTTAAAACAACAACATTGAAAACATTTTCCCTCCTGAAAGGGAAGCAATAAGTTTAGACACACTCAAAGTCTGACCAAATTTCCCTTTGTTTGGGGACCTAACAGGGAACTGGAAGAGCTTAGGATAGTTCAGATCTCACCTGCTTTCCCATAAACTCCACTGTCAGTTTGGCCACAGCAGCAGAGGAGCCCATGTCATTGGAGAAGGCAGCCAGGGACAGGAAGGCAGATCATGGGCCTACTGTATTCAATCAGTTTGGCGCTCATACCCCTAATGGATCAAATATTTAATTCACTGATGGTGATTCCCGCAGAGACAACCTAAGGAGGAGATCCTGTATAATCTGTGCATATAGGGAGGAAACTGTATTTCAGTGGCTGGAGAACTCACTTTGCATGCAAAATGTTAAGGGTTCATTTTTTCGGCTAAAGTTTCATGGGTGAGAGTCAAAGAAAGGTCTTTCCCAGCTCTAAGACTTGGAAGCAACCTCCCCCAACCTAGACAGTTTGGACTATAACTCCTATCGGCCCCAGCCAACATGGCCATTGATATCCTTCTAGCTGGCTGTGCCAGCCCACTTGCAGGCTCTGCCATTAGCTAACAATAAAGAAAAGAAATACGGTGATACCATAATAACCTTTTATACCCTTAGCTGTCAGTCTTTGTTTAATTATGGTGGTAATGAAATAACATACCAGAAGACAATGCCAAAGGACCTGCTTATGTTGTATGAAAATCACAGTTGAGCTCTGGTAAATAGATCTCCTGGACATTAAGGACAACAAAAACGATTCAAGAGCTTCCCAGAAACTTGTTTTCTGGGTGTTACAATGTTGGCTTCTAAAATAAGACTGAGAGTTACACCATCCAGTAGGACTTTTCAAATGTAGATATAGCCATTGGGTATTCATTGATCAGGTATCAATATGGCTATAGGAAATGTTTGGAGGATTTGACTAGATTTTCAGTAAGGAAATGATACATATTTTATTAAACACACTGTCTCTATGTACTCAAAAGTGTCCCATGGAGTCCAGTGGGTCTTTCTCCTAATTACGCTGTGGCTGAGGCTCCAAAAAGCGCCCTTTTGCTATCCTCCTCTTCAGTGCGAGAAATAAGAACATCCTGCATGATTTATGTTGCTGCATTTTAAAAATTTTTTTTTTGTTCAAGACAATGATGGTCTGAGATGCAAAACATCTCTGTTTTCTAAAGACCCCATCTGTGTGACTGCTTGGTACTGTCATAATTCAGGGACAAATGCCATTGACTGGGCACAGCTAAATCTAATCCATGCCACGCGAGAGAGCTAAAACAGCTCTAATGTTCAAGCTGGCGGTCAGCTCTGGCGGGGTGGGGCAGACAGCAACACTCAGCAAAGCTTTAGGGCCGTGGTAGCTGGTGTCCATCGAGACTGGCAGGGTGGAAAGCACGAAGGCAAATAGTAGATGGAGACAGGACCTATGAGAGGCAGAGCCAATTAATGCTGGTTTTGTTTCCCCCTCTTCTTGGTGGAACGCTCTGTCACAAGAGACTAGGGCCCTTCGGGACCTGACATCTTTCTGCAGGGCCTGCAAGACAAAGCTGTTCTGCCTGGCCATTGGTTTGGACTCAGACTGACCCTTATGTTATTCCCTCCCCTTACTGTTTTGATCTATGGGCTACTTTTAAAATAAGGCTGCATTTTAAATTGCATTTTAACCTGTATTTTAACCCCTCCTTTTATGTTTTTATTGTAATTTTACTGGTGTTAGCCACCCTGAGCCTGGCTCTGGCTGGGGAGGGTGGGGTATAAATATTTTTTTACTTATTATTATTATTATTATTATTATTATTATTATTATTATTCCCTGCTGAGTTCTGACAGAGAAAACCTGAGACTAAGGACTTATCCGCACTTCCTCTTATCCCTCTGCTCCCCACCCCACCCTGGGAGAAACCACTCTTTTGTGCTCAATTGGAACAAACAGAAAATTGAGTTTTCTCTGGATTGATGTTTGCTCTTAGTGCTAAGGAGTGGGTTTTCTCAGGGAAAGGAGCAGGGCAAGGAGGAAACTGCTTGGACCCATGCCTAGAAAGTGTGGGTCAAGTGGAAAACGGTTTGGATCCATGCTTTCTGGACACAGGACAAGCGAAAGTGTGGACGAACTCTAAGGAGGAGGAAGCTTACAGCTGGGATGACCATCACTTGGTTTTAGTTTTTTAAGAAAAAGGTGAGTAAGGGGGTGAGGACATGCCCCCCCCAATAATACTAGAACCTGGGACCTTTGGTCTTATCCCAGCCTTTAAAATACGTAATTATAATGTTCAAAGTGAAAAAACCATTGAGACATTGACAGTCTCTTTCCTCGGGCACTCATGTCTCCTTTGTCTTCTGTTGCAGCTTCACCCTGCTGGCAAGGAGCCACTGAGATCACCTCAGGTGACCATGCTTAACGGGGAGACAAGTTCCTCTTCAGCCAGGAATGTGGTCCGGAGCTCCAGCATCAGTGGAGAGATGTACAACATTGAGAAGAGTAATGCAGGCAACCCGGATTCAGCTAGCCTCTCATCCAATAAGAAGCGGCGATCCAGCCTGGGGGCCAAGATGGTGGCTATCGTGGGGCTGTCCCAATGGAGCAAGAGTACGATGCAGCTCAACCATCCTGGTAGGGAGGCTGTCAGGGATTTTTGTGTGCTGCGAGATACCAGGGGAGGGAGACTGGAATCAGCCTGAGAGTTAAGCAGCTTCTATGTATGGAGGGCTGACTAGGGAAGCCTTGGAGGACTCCCCTTAAGTGAAAACAGTGCTTTTGGTCATGCTCAGGGACATCATTTCCTGCCAGAAAGCAGAAATTTTATTCATTTCAGGAAGCAGAAGGAACTCCAAGTCCCATGCTACGCGATAATAAATGACACTTGTAGATATGCTCAAGGACAGCCTTCCCCTTACCTGATATCCTCAGGTACTAGCCAAGGCTGATAGTAATTGTAGTCCAAAACATCTGGAAGGCACCAAGTTGAGGAAGGCTGCTCAGCCAAACTGCTGAGTGACTATAGTTACCGTTTGTTAAAGAGGCCGATATGCATGTCAAATTGACAAGCATCTCTGCCTAGAGAAGGAGTTACTCTTTCCTGATTTTAAAAAAGTAACCACAACAAATGTTCTCGAGAGACAGTTAGGTGCTTGGCAATTCCCTGAGTGGTGAGAAATGCCAAGAGATTTGGAGGCTTAAGTTGTTGCTGTTGCAGTATCTAATTTATTTACATATATACCAGCAGCAGGGAGGCAAACCTGCCCCCTCCAAGGTTGTAAGTTCCACCTAACTTCCTCCCCCACCAGTGGTAGAGCATCTGCTTTGCATGCAGAAGGACCCGAGTTCAATCCCTGTCACCCCACAGGTAGAGCTAGTAAATAGTCCTGTCAGTATAAATAATACAGAGCTAGATAGACCAATGGCCTGACTTGGTATAAGGCCCCTTCCTACGTTCATATGATGCTCCTTGCTGCTGCTGCTTCTGCAGAGTCAATTAACTCCCCTCTCTCGCTTACATGCACATTTTGCCCTTTCTTTTGCCTGTGGAATAGTTTCTCCTTGCAGAATTTCATGCCACTGCTCTCCCCAGCAGATAGCTTATGCTTTTTTTTTGCTTCGGCTCGGCTGCGGGCATCAGGGTCAGCTGCTGCTATCTGGCACCATGCTTTCTAAGCCGCTGCCTTGTCCTCAGGAGTTAGGAAGGGTTAGCACATAATGGACAGCTCACGCTGGCTCAGCCACCTGCCCCTTTTCGTCCCATCTCTCGCCAGAACAGTGATCAAATTATAATCATTTAATAAGGGGAAATCCCATTCCCGTCTGTCCTCTTTCTCTTCTGCCCTCTCTCTTTTTCTTGTAACCTCTAACATCGGATGGAAGAAATCCCCTCCAGTCATTGAATCACACAAAAGGGTTCACAGTAGGATACCGAACAAGCCAAGTGGCTGAGCGACATCCCTAAGGTTTCGCAGCATGCCTCCCCAAAGGACTTTGGAGAAAGGCCTTGCCACACTCTCACAGCCAAAGAAAGTTTCACTCTCTTTTGCATGCAATCATTGTGTTTATTCCTCTGTTTGAGGGACAGGGAGTCTCTTTCATTGTAAGGGCCACACTCGCTTCTGGAAACCAGTGGTGGATGGGGCCAGAGGCATAAAGGAGAATAGCAATTACAGTGGTACCTCGGGTTACATATGCTTCAGGTTACATACGCTTCAGGTTACAGACTCCACTAACCCAGAAATAGTACCTCGGGTTAAGAACTTTGCTTCAGGATGAGAATAGAAATTGTGCACCAGTGGTGCAGTGGCAGCAGGAGGCCCCATTAGCTAAAGTGGTGCTTCAGGTTAAGAACAGTTTCAGGTTAAGAACGGACCTCTGGAACAAATTAAGTACTTAATCCGAGGTATCACTGTAATGTAAACTAGCAAGAGGCTAACTTCTACACACACACACACACACACACACACACAACACACACACACACACTCATCTCTGTCTTCCATCCTAGGACTGGATATTTGCGTGGAGGGGCTGTGGGTTCAATTCAGCTCTAGCCAAAACAAATTACTGGGCTCAGAATTCATTATTTCTGACGTCTGTCTGTCTTCTGCACCAGGCTCTGGTCTTTGGATCTCAGGGTTCTAGCGAAAAACAAGCCTGAAGTCTTTCCTCTCATTTCATAAAACAGCATCTATCAGCAGTTAAACACTTTAGAGTAGCCTTCCTGTACCTGGTGCTCTCTGGATGTTTTGTACAACAGCTCCCATCAGCTCCAGCTACTATGGCCTTTTTCACTCTGGCAAGAATCCTGGAAATTGGGAGCTGCTCCTCTTCTTACCATTTGAGTTGAGGACCACCTGAATGGCTTAATTAAAAGGGGGAAGGGGTGCCTCCTCCATCATCTGTACAGAGGAATAAAGGAGAAGGGGCTAGGAGTCTGGTGCCCTTGTCAGTTAATCAAAATCATGTGGTGAGGAAGGGCCTGCTTTCCATGTCAAAGGCTGCCATTTCAGTCCCAGGAAACCTGAAGAGCCATTGCTAATCAGTGTAATGCTAGCCTGGAAGGAACAATGATCTGAGTTAGTATATGGCAGCTTCCTATGTTCTCATGAGTGGCAAAGGTAACAAGTGATAAACCTGTGCAAATTGAAACAGATACTACACTTGTTTTGGTTGGACCAAATACTGAGGAGATATAACAAAGGCATCACAGAATGGGTGGGTTTTGAGGGGGATTTGAAGGAAGAGCCTGTGTGGTATTGTGCGTAAACTTGGATTGGAAAGCCTTGTGTTCATATTCCTGCTGTTCAAATTGAAGCTCACGGAATGATTTTGGATCATTCAAGACCTTGGACTCTGTTTCTCAGCCTATTCTACCTTAAAGAGTTGTTGCTGCAAGAGTAAAAAGGGGGCACTGAACTCCTTAGAGAAGGGGTGTTGTAAAAACACATGCAACATAATTGAACAGGAGATTAAAGCAGAGGGGAATATGTCTCAGTAGAGATGCATATTTTGCAAATAAACAAAAAGGCTTTCATGCATTCAGCAATTGCATGCAAGTCATTTTTGTTATGCATTTTGAAACTTTAGGCTTTCAATATGTACAAGGCATGGGACAATGGGCAGTATCTTCTGTGACCTGCCCTTCTGCATTTGACAACATGAATTTTCAAAAGAGACCATCAAGTTGAACTGCTAAAGGGGTGTGGAAAATGCTCTTTCAGAAGAAAAGGGGCTTGTCAACTGTTACAGCTTCAGGAAATTTTTATTTGCCTAAAATAGATATTTGGGGGAAAGCCTGAAAAATAATAATATGAAGAGCCCATTATAATCTTGGCAGTTTTTCAAAGTCGTCCCTTTGCATTATTATAGTTCTGGTATTTGTTGGCATTTCATGGTTCAGCTGTGATTTGAAAAGAAGGAGTTTATTTGGAGCTTTTTAAGACTTGCACATCTGAGATGTATCCAAAGGGTTGTAATTATCCGCAGAAAGGCTAAGAAAAGAAAGAGCAAAAATAAATAAGTTAAAATGGTGAAGAACATAGCTCAGTAATGTGGAACCCCAAAGCAACATTCTCAAATTCTACTGAACATGAAGAAATACTGCCAGTTTAGCTGGAGAAAAGGTGATGCATAGGAATTTTAGATATGAACAAAAAATTCCAGTGCTCATTGCCCACATGGAACAAGGAGCAGAGACACCAACCCAGGTTCACCTTTGGTGGAGTGAATCAAACTTTCCCAAACTGGTGCCATCCAGTTGTTTTAGCCACGCTGGCTGAGGTTGATGGGAGATCGGGTCCAGGACAGCTGGAGGGGACCGAGCTGGGAAAAGGCCTCTTTTCCACAAATGATTATTGTTCAATAGGGGAAATTATTTATCAAAACATTTATATCAGGCATGGGGCACCTATGGCCCTCCAGATGTTTTTTGCCTACAACTTCCATCATTCCTGATCATTGGTAATGGTGGTTGGGACTGATGGGAGTTGGAGTCCACATGTTGCCCATGTCTGGTTTATATATTGTCTTTTAGCCTCAAAAGAACCTCCCAGACCAGTTTACAGCTTTAAAATCACAGTGAAATTAAACCAGAGCACATTAAACATGCCAATAAAAAGCAAATCTAAAAAAACAAAAACAAGTATGTGTTAAAATAAGTCAGAAGCTTGGTGGAAAAAAGTTCATCTTTCCACCTAAAAATCATTTTTTAAAGTGCCATTCTAATGTCCCTTGCATGTGTGTGGGGAAGGGGTGGCAGTTCTACAGAGAATGTGGAACCACTAAAACTTGCTTCATGAGCAACCAAGTATCTCTTGGGGGTAAAACACAGAACATAGCCTCCAAAGGTTTATGCAGAATGAGGTGGTCCTTCAAACACCTGGTCCCTAGGTAAAGGGACCCCTGACCATTAGGTCCAGTCATGACTGACTCTGGGGTTGCGGTGCTCATCTCGCTTTGTTGGCCAAGGGAGCCGGCGTACAGCTTCCGGGTCATGTGGCCAGCATGACTAAGCCGCTTCTAGCAAACCAGAGCAGCGCACGGAAACGCCGTTTACCTTCCCGCCGGAGCGATACCTATTTATCTACTTGCACTTTGATGTGCTTTCGAACTGCTAGGTTGGCAGGAGAGGGACCGAGCAACAGGAGCTCACCCTGCCGCGGGGATTCGAACCGCTGACCTTCTGATCGGCAAGTCCTAGGCTCTGTGGTTTAACCCACAGTGCCACCCGCGTCCCTATACATTCCATTTTTCAAAGGAAAAAAAAAACACCTTCCTACTTTGGTTTTTGAGAAGCATGATCTCACAATAGGTGGGGATCTCTTTCCAGATTTTGGAATGCAATACTCATCAAGGGTTGAGCACTAACACCTTCTAGCTCTTGGAAGTGGGGACAGAGAAACAATTTGAATGTGGCAGAGATGATCACAGTGATAGAGAGATTGGGGGAGATGGGAGATGAGAGAGAGAGATAGCACTGAGAGTTTTTGTCTAGAGTTGGCTGATGATGAAGCAGCTGTGGGTGTTGTGGCCTTCCCTGGGAATCTGGCAGATTTTCTGCCTTCTGGAGAGTATCTGTTTCCAATAAGCTCAGCTTGAATATTTGTAATTAAAACATATGTTATAAAAAT